TTGATGGTGAGTAGGTGGGTAACAGGCTTTTGATGTCGGCATTCCCCAATGAAGTAGGAGACGAAAGATTTACTCAGCTCCGCGAAGGAGTGGATAAAAGAGGGTTTGATCTTCGTGAACTATTGTCGAGTAGACCCTTTCAAAGTGGTGGAGAAGGCTCTACACATAATCTCATCAGGCACGTTATGGAGTTGCATGAAAGACTTATAGGTGTCAAGATGATCCAGGGGATCCTTAGTACTGTCGAAGATCTCGATGGCAGGCATCTTAAGCTTCAAGGGTAGGAGGTAATTGACGATGTCTGTAACAAACGGGGTGTCAGTGCACCTTACCAGGTAATTCGCCGTTTTGGAGGCTTGTGCCTTGATGGCGTTGAGGGTGTCACCGAGTTAGTTTTGCACCTCTTTAATTTTCTTGTTCCATTGGTCGGAGACATCCTCTATCGGGTTGTTGTAATGGCTTCCATGATCGACATATTGTTTTCTCCTTCGTCCTCTTGCACAGGTACATGAGGAGGGGGAACATGTGAGCTTCCTTCACATTGAGGAGGGACTATTGGGTGAAGGGCCCCATGGTGGGGGGTTGCTTGGCGCCCAGAATGGATTGGTTGTTGTGCTTCTCCCGTTGGAGGGAGTGGTATTCCTCCTACAAGGCTAAGGGGCGATGCCTCCCTTGGCGAACATCAACTAAATGATTTGTTGGTTCTGGTTTACCAGTAGTAGCATAGTCTGTAGAAGCTCTTGTCCGACGATGGGAGTCGTTGTAGCAGATGGTTCCGAGGGTGCGAGGGGAGGCGGAGCCCCCTTCTGGGGGGCCGGGTTATTGTTTCCCGGTTGTTGACTTATCGACCTGGTCGTGATTACCATGAAGTAGTAAGGTAGTAGAAAACTTAGTCGATTCCCACAAATGGCGCCAAACTGTTTCTGCACAAAACTGTCTCGTGCAAAATCAACAGTCGAGTATGTGATAAGGTATAATTAATAGACAATTAATAAAGTAATCAATGGCAAAAAAATAATATTGGGTCAATACACAGATATATAGTGGTTTGGTCTAAATGACTTATTTCACTCCGAGAAACGGCTACAATGGCTGGTGAACCTTTATTGATGAAATAAAGTAAGAGAGAGGGAGAGACAAGGCTAGCTCCAGGAGTGGTACAATAGCTAGGAGAGAGAAAGTGTGTAGAGAGGTATGGTGAGATCACTATGTCCTCTCATGTAGAGAGGACTTACAATTTATAAGCACAAAAACTTGGTTGAGGCGGTAACGTGAGGGTGAAGGTACTAGGTCTTCGGAGAGGATAGCTACAAAAGGTAAGTGCAATTAAGGTAGCCTTGATCTTCGAGGGTGTGTATCCCGATGATTTCTCTCCATGTGCTCTAGTTCTTGTTGGACTCTTCGGACCTTGGGTTGGGTTGAATTTACGAACTGAGCTCGATCTGTCTTTTTGTTGATTTGGGTTAACTTCATTTATTGGGCCTGACTCAATTAGATTTGGGCTCATCAGAGGACCTACCTAAAGGTTATCTTTGGAAAATTATGGTCACTTCCAACTTCAATATAAGGCTTTATTTGTTTTGTTCAAATGGTCAGAGTGTTTGGTCCAACTTTCACACACCTCGACTATCTTCCCTAGTGATAGGCAAGTCATCTACGCTGGGACTAGAGTATTCATGAACGATAAATCCTTCGTGGTCTGGCCTCAATGCGATTGTCAAGATTTATATTCAGAATATCTAAGCAACACATGACACCTACACCTTTATTTGGGCACAAATAAGGTCATCTGCATTACAGTCGGCATAAAAAGAATTGATTTCCACACGTTTAATGATTTCAATTTTCTTCCTCCACCTTCTTCTTGGAATGTAATTGCCTTCCAACCCACAAGAATAGAAAATATTTCTGGCTCCAATGATACACTTCAAAAAGATAAATGCCCTTCATTCCAATCCAGCCATTTTTCTTCTTAGCGAACTTCTGAAAAATAATAAATCTAATGAGACAATAAACTTGAACAATTTAGATATCAAGCAACCGTATGCATATCATGACCAGGTATTACTCGCAGACTAATATGTTGCATGGAAAACACCAACCTTTTTCAGCATATGTTCTTCAATTGAACAGGAGCTACTATCGTTTCAAGCCTCCAAGAGAGCGTTTTTTTTTTTTTTGCGTACACTGTGTGGTAGATAAAGTGACTGAATAATGTCATTTTACTGCTGCCGTGTTGCAATTTAGATAGTTGGCTTCTTGGAATCCTCATGAAATGCAAGCTTGGGTTTTGAAGAGATAGTTGTAGGGGTGTCCATTTGTTGGTATACAAAAGCAACGCACTCAACCATTTTTACTCTATCTTCTTCTTCAGCAAGTCTGCACCAGTTCATTGTTGTGGCATGAGTGCGATGCTGTTGTGAATCAGAATTCGAAGACAAAATTTCAATTTAAATTCTGACATCAAAATGAAATCGAAATCGGAACACCACCGTTGGTGTCATTGCAAAGACCTCTCTGCATTGTAACTGCGCCTCCATCGCCGTTACTCCATTACCACTCTTTAATCTTTCTTTTATTCCTCACCAAACATACCAAAACCCAAATCACCCCATCACCAACAACACACTACCATCACCAACACTGACTAGTACCCAACACTAATTCACATAAAATCAAAACAGAAAAATCTAAGACTGATTTGAGTCCAACTCACTTTATTTGAAAAAATCAAAATAGAGGTGGTAATGGGCGACGACTGGTTGGAGAAGATGAAAAGGAAGAAAAGAAAAAGTATAGGTAGTTGCTGGTGGATATTGATAGTGAACTAAGGTAAATGAAAGAGATATGAAGAGACGTCCAACGATGGTTAGATATAATGGGCTGGTTGTAGGAAAGAAAAGTGGAAGAAGAAAGGTGAGTATTTAAACTCATTTTGTATCTCATCATTTAAAGCAACGTTTTCAAAAAATAAATGAGTATGAGAAATAAGTTTAAAAGTGACTAGATTCAGATTAACATTTCGAGGATAATGAATTTAATGAAAAACTCACGACTCTTCTAACTATAATTGTTTTTTTTTTGGTGGTTTAAAAATTATTTATACCAAATCAATTATTAAAAATAAATAAAACTCATTAAAAGAAATTATCCCAAATTTGTATTAAACATATTTGTAAATAGTAAAACATTAAATCAGGGCTCGATTCAAAGCATAGAGACCTAAAAGAAGAAAAAAGATTATTTAAACTTACTTTCAGAATTTAAATAATTACAACTGTTCAATTAAAAATTTATTTCACCTAACAACTAATCATAATTATAGAAACTCTCTGAGAACTCTTGCATCATTAAATAAATAAAAATATGTTAAAAATATATTAATAAAAAATAAATAATAATATTATAAATATCTAATTTAAAGACTTAATTAGTGACCTAATTCATTGATGTCAAGTAAAGAAAGTATAGCTTGGTTTCCAAATTTGGGGCAACGGTAACAAAAAAGAAAAAGGAAACAAAATCAGAGATTTAAAACCAATGATCTCGTCAGAGAGACACAACCAACAACATATATATATAAAATCAGAAACTCAGCAGACGACATCGACCTCCTGAGTCCCAATTTACGAACCTCCACCTACGATCTATCTCCGTAAACCCTAAATTCCACCACCAGATGATTTCTCTCTCCTCTCTCCGAAAATATTCAGCATTGTAAAGCAATGGAGTCGATGATCGAACTCTGCGATCTGATCGCACAAAATCCTTCGCAATTTGCTGATAAATTGGCTTGGATTTGTGGACGATGTCCACCAATTGACTCTGTACTCGCCACCGCTAGATTTCTTTCTAAATGCCCCAATTTCGACGACATGAGGCCCTAACCGGCAGTCCTAGGGTTTTTCAGGTCGATTCCGTGTTCTTTTGCCCAATCTTTTTGGCGACAGTCGTTTGTAAGCGATTCAATTGCTTCGTACGATTTCTTGAGTTACATGAATAAAGCCAGTGAGTTGTCCTCGGATTTTGCCATTGGCCGTTGCGGAGTATACGGGAGAGATTGTGATGTCGGCGGTTAACAATGTCAGTGGAGATTTGGGGGTTTCAAGGTTTTCTTGAATGCTCTGTCGCAGAATTTTCCTCCAATTCTTCCTTCCGATGCAAACAAATTAGTGTCCACTGTTCTAGATGGATTTGAAATTTCGGTTCCTAGTTCACCGAGGAGCTAGTTTCGACCACTCCTGAAGCGTCATCGTCTTTTTTGGGTCGATTCCGTATTCTATTGCCCAATCTTTTTTGCCACAGTCGTTTGGAAACGATTCAATCTTTTGATTTCCTGAGTTATGTGAATGAAGCCAGTGAGTTGTCCTCGGATTTTGCCATGGCCGTTGCGGAGTCTACGGGAGAGATTGTGATGTCGGCGATTAACAATGCCGGTGGAGATTTGGGGGTTTTTCTGTCGCAGAATTTTCATCCAATTCTTCTTTCTAATGCAAACAGATTAGTGTCCACTCTTCTAGATCGATTTGAAATTTCGGTTCCTAGTTCACCGAGGGAGCTAGTATTGATAACACCTGAAGCGTCATCGCCTCAGTGTTCGCCACTCAGCGCAAACCATTATCAATCAAATGAGAGAAACAGTCCAGGAAACGAGGTCAGCAATGCCTCTGGTTCTTCTAGCGGTGACCCTTCAAGGGTTACAGATGAGGCGACCAGTGCATTGTGGTCGAAAGGATTGGTGATGAAAGGGGGCAGCCTTGCGTGGAAGAGCAATGTGTATATATTTGGGGCTGATGTTGGGTTCAATGATGAAGGACGAGGCGGTTCCGCAACGTACAAGCGAGTGGTAGCCTCTTTTGAGGAAGAGCCTGTGGAGAGACTTCAACAACAGGAGATTGCTTTCAAGCTGATTGGGCACATATTGGATAAAGTCCAGATTGATCTTAAGCTTTTGTAACAAATGAGGGCCATCGCAATTCGCAAAGGAGCAACTCCAATCAATGTTGGCTTTCCTAAAGGTAAAATTCATGGGTATCCATCCTTTTGGTTTCGAATTTTATTGATATCTTGATGAAATAACTATAGAGATGAATGAAAAAATCTGGTTAAAATGTTTGGGTTTTTTGGCAGATATGGAAGCGTGACTGGACGGAACTGGGGCAGTTACTGAAAGTTAGAATCAATACAGAGCTGTCGGTTTACCAAGCTGCAGCGGGGTTACAAATCAAGAGTCTTTCATCTGTTGATTTGAATGGGAAGTCATCGAAGAGGTTGTGCATTGTTGATAGAAGCTGTTGAAGCATGTTTATTCTGTGTCTGGCAAAAGTTGAGAATTTGTGATGAGCTCTTCAGCTCATTGCTTGTTGGGATTTCCTAAATTGCTCTCACTCGATGTGGTCAGCTGCTGCATGTCTTGCTCATTCGCTTCAAACCCCTCGTGATAAGTACTGTGCTCGGGTACATTATTTGTTTGCCTCCTACAGCTGGGGCGTATCTTGGTAACATGATTCTGCAATATGTTGCACTTTTTGGATAAACTTTCATTGTAATATATATATTTTTTCAGACAGGCAGAGACTTGGGGCAGATTTTCTAGGACCTCTACTTCTTGCTGTGGCTGAAATATGTTCAGATTTTGATCCTACTGTATATGTGGAACCTGCACTTTTGAAGCTATTTCGCAATTTGTGGTTCTATGTCACTCTCTTTGGGTTAGCACCTCCAATACAAAAAACTCTATATATGGTAAGTCAGTTTCCCATAATCTGAATAGTGTGGGGAGCATGGGTGCAATTGGTCTTCAATCTGAAAGTGTTATTTTATGAGTCTCTTTTGTCTGTATGTTTGTGCTTTAGTTTTTCTACTAGTCATTATTCAAGGCATAAAACTATTCTGCTGCCAATTACCTCTTTACAGTATTTTATGTCTTACATTTTTTGTGCCATAACTCAATGTGACAATTACTTGAATCTTTGTGTCAATTACTTGCTTATAGTATTTTATTTCTTAAATTTTTGTGCTATGATTCAATGTGTAATATTGCTTATTGAATGCAGTACCTTAAAGATGGAGGAAAAACCAACCTATTAAAATTTGGAAGGCTCATAAAGCGGCAGTCCAAGAGGTTGGTTTTTCTTTGGGTATTGTGTAGTATTGATTTTGCGGTATGATTTTTTTAGCGTTTTCTTTTCTCTTCTTCTCGTGAAGTTCTTAATTATTCTTAATTATCATCCTCGATCTTCATCCTTTGCTTAAGATTTCTTGCAGTTATCGAACTACAAAGGCACTGATGTTAAAACTTGAAGATCCTACACCATATTGCTTTGGATACGAATGAACAATGGCAGTTTTGTTTATGGTAATCCAGGTTTAAGTGACACAACTCTGCACATACTTTTGAAGAGCATACAGGTCAGCTCCTTGCATGTTTACATTTTTATTCTTTTTGAATATCTTTGAGTAGATGTTCTATTTTTTATTTTTAAATATTAATAATGTGTTTTCTTAACAATTGTGGTGGTTGTTTGAAAGTTTTCACTGGTAGTAATTATCGTATTTTAGATGATCTTTAAATTTGTAAGTTATGAAAAAAGAACACACTAGTTTTCAAACCCTAATTGACTTGGATGCAAAAATGAACATGTCTTGGTGGCATCTTGCATCACGACAGCTCATAAATTCAAAGTAACGTGATGTAGCTAAGGCGTTCGACAAAAGTCCAGACGCCATGTCCTAGGCTCTTGTTGTTATGTTTCTTCAGTTCAAAAGATGTCCGCTAAAGTCGTTTGGAAAAACCTCCATAAAACATATATAAGGGGAGGAGTTAGTTGAGGGGCACCAAGGGTCTGGCTAGCCTTGTGCCCACAAGCCTTGGCACCGTTAGGCAAAATATAAGTGTGTCTATGTTTCTTAGGTGTATTAGTGTATGAGTGTGTTTCTTTGGTGTATTAGTGTGTGTGGACGGAGCATATGTTTTGGGTTTTTTTTGAGGGTATATTAGTGTGTATTAACATGGTGTGTGGGTGTGCATACATATGCTGATTAGCTGGGTTGTGTGTGTGTTTTGGTTTAGGTGAAACGGAGAAGGATTCTCTTTTGCTGCTTTGGCTTCTTTTGAGAAAGGAAAAAGGCTCAGTTCAGCAACTGATTGTGGATTTTCCTTTTCTTTTGCGGCATCCCTGCAACCTTCTTTCTTTTTGATCTTCTTATACTACCCCCTTTTTTGATCTATTGCGTCGACCTTTGCTTTTGGTTCCGGATCAGCCCTTTTGTCTGACTCTTTTCCTTATACCAAAAAAAATATCATAAAACTATGAAAAATACCGGAAAACATTAATTTTATTATTTTATGATATGTTATTCTTAATGTTCCCCGGTATTTTTCATAGTTTTATGATATATTTTTTTGTATATTAATGAATTTTTTTATTAATGTGTGTTTTTTAGTGTATTAGTGCCTGTGTGCATTTGCGTTCGTGTAATAACGTGTGTTTATTGTATAATAGTGTCTATGTTTTTGGTGGATTAGCTTGTGTTAACATTACTTTGGATGGAATGTATGCATTTTTGTGATTTTAGATGGTGTATTAGTGTGTGGGTGTATGGTGTGTTTGTGTTTGTGTAATAGTGTGTTTTGGTATGTTGGTGTCTATGTTTTTTGATGTATTATGTGTATATTTTGGTGTATAAGTGTTTGTTAACACAACGTGCGTGGGTGTGTATTTATTAGTTTGTTTATGTGTGTTTGATTCAGTGGCGGTGTGCGAATATGCGTGTATTTGTGTAATAGTGTATGTACGTGTGTGTGCATCTTTGGTGTGTTAGTGTGTATTTTTTTGGTGTATTAGTGTTTGTATTAAGAGGAAGGTGTGTTTTCATTAGTGTAAGTGTATTCTTTTAATCAATGTGTTATTGTGTGCGTTTTTATGTGCACAATGTGTATTTATTTTTATCAGTTATTTTTGGTGTATAAGTTTTTATGTTTATTGCGTGTGGTTGTTGGCGTGTATGATATCTTTCTTATCTCGAGTGTTTTTGTGTTTTGATGTGTATAACGTGTTTGTGTGTGTGGTTATTACTCTATTTTTTTTATGTTATCGAAGTGTTTGTGTATGTGCCTCCTTATGTGTCTGTGTTTTGATTTTTATTATGTGTATCTTTGTTATTATGTGACTATTTTAAAGTTTTTGACTCTTTGGGAGGCTTACAAAGCAATAATCTACCAGTTATGAAGTTATCTTTAGGCAAGCTTTTTGCAGGTGAACATGATGTTGCTTAATTTAAGGTATGATTGTATAAGTTTTTTCATTCTCTTGTTTTACACTTGTCAAACTATAGTTTGGATAGGAATGACTGATATGAATTGTTGTTAATGATAATGCAAGTTCTAATGAACTTTGGAAGGGGAGGACGATTGCATACATTCATAGGGAATTCAAGTTTGTTTTCTTGCATGTCTACATGGCTTTCTTTTGCATATATTTTAGTGCATACGGTAGTTTCTATTTAAAGTGTAATGATTTTTATTTTTCCTTAGTAATTGTTTGTGGGGGGCGATAGAAATATCATTTGGTCTTTCCCGTAATTGGTCTATTGTTCATCATTTAAGGTATGTGACTCCTATGTTGTCAATTCATTCCTTACAATTTTTTGTTCTTTAAAATTTTTATGCCATTTTACTATTGTGTAACGAGTTTAGATATTCCCTATTTATTGCAGTACATTAAGGCAATGGAAGAGATGCCAACTTGTTGAACTTTGGGAGAGACTTACAAGGCAACAATCTAAGCAATTATGAAGTTCCTCTTAGGTGAGTTTTCTATGGGTGAACATTATTTTTGCTTTTGATTTGAGGTATGATTGTGTAAACTTCTTTCTTACTTCTCTTTTTTTGTCGGTGATAATGCAAGTTCTAGTGATACAATTTTAAAGCTTTGGAAATAGAGGACATGTGTGCATACCTTCGTAGGTTGTACGGGTTCGTTTTCTTGCTTGTTTACGTGACTATTTTCTTTACATATATTTTATTGCGTAAGATAGTTTCTATTTAAAATACTTACAATTTATATTCTTCCTTACTTATTGTTTGTGGGGAGGGGAGGAAGGGAGGAGATAGAAATATGGTTTGGTCTTTGCTATAATTGGTCGACTTGTCATAATTTAAGGTATGTGGCTCCTCCGTTGCCAATTACTTCCTTACAAATTTTTGTTCCTTAAAATTTTCATACTGTTTAACTATTGTGGCACGAGGTTAGATATACTCTGTTGATTGCAGTACATTAAAACAATTGAGAAGACAATAACTTGTTGAACTTTGAAAGTCTTACAAGACAACAATCTATGCAGTGATGAAGTTACCTTTAGGTGAGCTTTTTACTGGTGAACATTATTTTGTTTGATGTGAGGTATGATTGTGTTAGGTTTTTTCTTCTCTTTTTTGTCTTTAACCTTTAAATTCTTAAGTATCTTTTCTATGATCTCAACGACCAACTTATGTTCTTTGGTTTGGATTTCTCATAGTTATCAAACTATGTTTTGGATAGAAATGACCGATGTGAATTGTTGTCATTGGTAGTGCAAGTTCTAATGACACAATTTTATGGAAAGAGAGGACTTGTGTGCATACCTTCGTAAGGCATACTGGCTTGTTTTCTTTTCTGTCTACGTGACCATTTCTTTAGCATATACTTTAATGCATATGATAGTTTCTATTTATAATGCTTTTGATATATATTTTTCCTTAGTAATTGTTTGTTTGTTGTTTTGGTTGGTTGGGGGGTTGGGGGGGGGGGGGGGGAGGATTCATAAAAATATGGTTTGGTCTTTTATATAACCTATATATCATCATTTAAGGTTTATTATGACTCCTCTGTTGCCAATTACTTCCTTACAATTTTTTATTCGTTAAAATTTTAATGTCTTTTAACTGTTGTGTCACAAGGTTAAATATTTTCTATTGATTACAATACATTAAGATGGTGGAGGAGGGACTAACACGTTGAACACTGTGTGAAGTGTGAGTGGCTCGTTCTTTTTTTTTCTTATTGCTCTTTGTTTCGAAGGTTTTTTTCATTTTTTTGTACATAATTTAATATGTTTTTCTTTCAGTTGTTTGTAAAATGGATGCTAACTTATGAAGGAATAAGGGGTTAAACTGGATTGAGATGCATTTGCAAAGCAAATTTAGCAGTGAAAAGATAAGTATATCAGTTTCTCCAGCTTCAATTGGCTTTTTTTTTTTGCAAATTGTATTTTACGGATGATTTTTTTTTCCTTTGTCTTTCTTACTTGTTATAATCATTCTTGTATAACAGATGTTAGATGCTCAGCATTCTCCTCCTTCTGATAACACTAACAACACCTACTTACCACAGGAATGCCAATTTGCTTAACTCTATCATCCAGAGGTAAAGCCTTCATTAAAATCTTCCAACCTACTAGCTGAGCACTAGGAGTAGGGGCAGTCTGAATATCCCAAATGCCAGCAGCAGTAGCATTCAAACCTCCCTTCAACCTACTCATCTGCTAAGCTGCTTTAACTGAGAAATTACCAGCACAAGAGCTCTGCCACACCAATTTATCATAGGTCCCAGATAACATCAGATCAGAATTCACAACCTCATGCCTCAGCTCTTCAGTCAGGAAATCCTCCACTGCACCCAACTGCTACTGAGAACCTGTAACCAACTCTGAAATCTTAGGGAAACTTTGTGGCAAATCCTCCACTTTACACGACAAAGGACCATGTCTGTGTGAGTACCATCACCAATTATCTTCTTAGACTGCACGAGCACCCTTTCAAAATAAGGTCTAAGCATCTCAAGGCATTTAAGTGATTCTTCCCTGAGAATCTCAATGAATGCTTCCCCTTCAAGAATTTGGCAGAAAAAACTTTGGCCCATAGAGAATTTCCTTGCAATAAACTCCAGACCTGCTTCATTCAGAAAGCCATCTGCATCTCCTCGAACTTCCTCAATCCCAAACCACCCTCCTTTTTAGGCAAAGTCAACTTCCCCCAAGAAATCCAGTGTCTTTTCCTCACACTCATCTTGCTAGACCAAATGAATCTTGCCATTAAAGCCATAAGCTTAGAGATGATAGTCTTTGGCAAGTTCAAGCAGGCCAGCAAATGGATAGGAACAATACTCAGCACATACTGAACAAGTAAAATCCTACCCATAACATCCTTGCATACCATCCTTCTAACCTTTGCCTAAACTTAAACCATATCTCTTCAAAAAATCTGATCCTAGCTCTTCCTTTTATAATTGGACAAATAAAATATGTATATGGACACTGTTTAATAGGAATACAAGCCACTCCAGTCAATATAAACCTACTTCCTTGCCATAGTAATATGCTTAGAACAATACATAGAACTCTTTTGGAGACTAACCCTTTGTCCAAAACT